ATAATTATCATCTTCGAAATATTGTTGTTTTTTGTCTATCAGATTTTTACGTCGGCATTTTTTAAATTATTTCTTAATACTTTCTTTTAAATATTGAATTAATTTCAAATAGAACCAATGCCTTATTGATCTGCCTTGTAACAAATTGCAAAGGGAATTGAAAAAACGGCCCTAAAGTACGTGGAATTATCTTTCCCTATTTTATCAAATCGAAAAAAATGATTGATTATCTGTCCTTTTTTTTTTGACCAAAAAAAAAACAATATTTTTAACGAAAATTTCAGACGTGCTAAGAACGATTAAAAAATGTAAAAAAAAATACCCCCAAAATACTTTGATCTTTCCTCTTTAATAATAATATGAACATTAGACGATAAAATTTTGTTTTCGTCAAGTTCGTCTTTTTCATCATGCTATGCTCTTTTGTTTACATATTCGTCGGTGAGTTGTCCCCCTTTCATTCTCACGATGTGTCTTAATCGTGTTTTCAAAATGATTTTCTTAAAAAACAACTGTGTTTTTCCCATTTTCGGCCCAGTTAGAACCACCACAAGGTAATTTTATGTAGTCCTGTGAAGTTTTGTTGAAATGTAGGAAATTCGATCCAACATATAAACGTTACAGACACACACACACACACACACACACAACCTGCGTTTTATAATAAGTAATATATATATATATATATATATATATATATATATATATATACCTAAGGTTAAAATGATTTTTTTAAATGAAAAATCTTTTTTATTTTAGTTTTAATTTCAAGCTAATAGATGAACTTTAATATTTCCAATAAGGTCAATTTTTGTATTATATGCTGTATTTCAAAACGAATTTATATTGATTGAATATTATTAAAAATGATTTAAAATTTAAATATACTTTTCTTAAATTTTCTTAAATTTTCTTTGAGGAAGAGTAACTGATTTAAAGTTTAATTAATCTTACTTGAAACAAATATTAATTTACTTTTACTTTAAAATATCACAGAAAAGAATTTTCAACATGTAGGTGGTTGTTTTTATGAGGTTTTGACAGCCCTATTGACAGCCCGATGTTTGTGAGCTTTAACCAATTGTTTCGAAGGTGAAAATATCTGCAAACATTTAGGAAAACATTCAAAGTAATGTTTTACTGAATTTTAGGTATTTTGTTTTTAAATTTATTATAGTTAACGCTCTAATTTTCTGATAATGTTCTGTAGGGACGTCCGTATTTACAAATTTCGGCAGGTTTATGCACACGCAAAATATTCAAAGTTTTTTTTCAAAATACTGGGGGTCTCTGAATTGTAGAAAGATTTTGAATTTATGATTAGTAAATATAATTTTTACTTCATAACAATATCAACTAAGCAGTAAAAATTAATACAGAATTTAAAAGATTTAAAAATTTATAAATAATTCGAATAAAATATTTATAAATTTAAATTTTTTAGCCACACTATTCAAAATAGTAAAGGAAATGAAGAAAAAAAAAATTTATAGGAAGACAGAATATACGGTCATTATGAAAAGATGCAGCACAAAATAATAGCTACAAAATAAGGAGGTCAAAATAAAGCAACTACAGACATTTAACTACGACCGAAAATGTGAGGCAGTTATCAAAACAGCATTTGAAGAAAAAAGATGCCTTCCAAATGCTAAGCAAAGCATTAAGAATCGGGAACATTTCATTACAAGTAAAAAGAGTGCTGAACTACTGAGTTAATGAGTCCGCCTATATATCATTGAATACTGGACCATTACCTCGCAGATTATGATGAGATTTGAGGCAACAGAGACGTAATTCTACAGAAGAATGCTAATAACATGTAGAGAGCATGTGAATAACGAAGAAGTTTTGGAGAAAATGTGAACGAAAAGGATATCTGCACTTATAATCAGAAACAGAACGTTGAAATTTCCGGGACTTATAATAAGGAAAGAAGGCTTGGAGACAACTTGAAAGCAAGAAGGACTAAAGGAAACAGCGATTTACATACCGAAATCGATGGCAGAACATGAGCAGGGAATGTTAGTATAGGCATTCCTTAGTTCTACATGACATAGAAAGTTGTGGAAGGCGATCAAGAGATATGGTACGCAAAATAAAAAGGAAGAATTTCTATGAATGCTTTGAAATTTTGCTGAAATTAAAATATACCGATATTTTAAGCTGGTGTTTTTTTCCCCAATACTCCAAACATAAACCGCATGTGACTCATCTAAATGCTTTTGTTTACTATTTTCTAAATCGACTGTAACTCATTTCCATTTATTCGGAAATTCTTTGCACAAATCAACAGTCCTATACACAGAAAACCAACCATATTTTTTAAAAAGTTATATTTACTATTTGTAGTTCACTAAAAAGAGAACATTGGGTTGTTGAATGTATAAAGTTATACTATATTTTCCACTGAAAAATAAAAAAAATAAAAATAAAAACACGAACGAAGTCTTAATTTTCGTAATAATTAAATGCCCTGCCCTGCAAAACTGTATCTGCTTTCAAATTCCTGGTTGTTTTAAAATGTACATTTTCAGAAGCCGGGAATACACTGCAAATTAATTCCAGATGAATCTGTTAAAATTACCGACCGAAGTTATGGGTTATCAAGTTTAGCCTGGGTTATTTTAGTAAGTTTATATTCTAAAGTATGACTTATGATACGTTTATACTGTTACAGAGTAAATACATCTAAATATCTTAATGTGTTCTCTTAGGCAGATGTTGTGAAGCAGATATTATGAACAACATCAAAAGCGATTTTACATATCCGGTCATCAAATGAGAAACAGAAATGGTGTGTAAAATGAAAATCTAAAAAGAGAAAAACGCTTTTCCTACAGATTGTTTTCGTTAAGTGCAATGTAAATTTAAAGGTTATATTTCTTGATTATATAAATTCAACTTACGTGATTTCCATAATGGCTTATGTTAATGGAGAAATAAGATATAAAAGAAATGAAAATCTTGAAAGACATTAAGTTCATAAAATAATTACTTAATTACACAAAGCTTATAAAAAAAATGTAAGTTAAATTTATTCAAATATTATCCACCATAAACGAAATAATCTTCATTTCCAAGGACTGCAGACCAACGGCAAGACATTAAAGATTGTATGTTACAGAAAATTGTTTTATTTTCTGAAAAAGTTTGAAACGCTTTTACTTTCTGAATGTTTTGCCAGTTGAAATATTCTAGTGATCAAAACAAATAATCCTAGGTACAAAATCTACTAGGTGCCCATGATGTAAAAGAAATTCTAATGCAAACAATATTTTTATGGGGGGGTGTTTTGCAGAGTGCATCCTTACATTGGCACACTCGAGAACAACACCTCTTATGTTTACTTTCGATATAATGCTCTGTTTTCCCGATCAAGTTACTGTCAATAAACGTCTGCAATGGTGCTCCTTCCATATTCAATTAGTTCGTAATAGACGATACTGGTTTTGGTGTAGGCACACGTCTTTCATTTTCAGATAAACACTGACTTTTTTTGTTTTCCGTTAGCATGCTAATCCCATTTTCGCTCATTTGTAACAGGGTAAGGTAAAAATGATAGCCTCACTGTTGTACTTCTATCCCAGATTAAACTAACCCAACTAAGAGAATATTTGAATTATCTATTTCCTTATTGTTTTTCATGCAACATTTGAGTGATATATTCTTAGGCCTTCCTCAAATACATGTTATATATTTTCATTGTTTTAATTTTTTGCTTTGATTTTGATTTCGCTGAGCAACTTTTCTGTTTTATTTCGTTTTTCGTTTCATTGAGTCAACAAGAATATACATTCCTATAATCGTATCCGACAGCTACTGAAAGAAAGTCGAAAAACACAGACAGAAATACTGTGTTATGACCAGCATGTTTATCTATCTATCTATCTATCTATCTATCTATCTATCTATCTATCTATCTATCTTCCATTTATGTTTTCTGTTTGTTCTGAAGTTAATGGCAAATATTTTTTAATTAAAAACGTGCAAAAATGAAATGTTAAACTGAAATTAGAAGAAAAACGAAAGCAATTCTGGAAAAAGAAAAGCTAAAACTAACAAAGTAATATAATAGCTATCATGATATTACCACATTTGAACACAATTTCCCAACTGAGGTTTTATTTTCATTTTTAGACAGAACATATTAATGGTATCCCCTTAAGCATGTTATGAAACCCCGCACCAACGATAAATATTGCAATATATTCGTATCGTTTTTTTTTACAAAATTTTAAAGGAGATGTTATGACATTTCTTGATATCTTCATTCCATATCAGGAATGTTACAGTATCTTTGAAAATATTTTCTTTAGAAATGCTTGTGTCTTATTTTCTGTTATGTACCGTACCTATGAACAGTAAAGGGTTTGTTCCAATCCTCATGAATACAGTGGACGCTATTGTAAGTGAGGGTAATATACTGTATATCCATGATATGTAGTCCATCAGTAGCAGTGGTTTACCTACTTCACGCCTCTGGCGAAAATTTTATTTTGTTGATGTTATAAAGATTATCATTTCATTTCCAATCTCCGTTTTGGTTTTTTCTCATTCAGTAACCCTTTCTAGGTTGCAACATTTTCAAACATTCAGTTGGACATACACTTTAAGAGAAATTGTCATTGAATATTGAATCAGGAGAATGTTTGAAGTTTCAGTTAAAAATGTAATGTTTTTGTTAAGAATATAATCTTACGAAATAACTGTGAATATACATACATATATATATATATATATATATATATATATATATATATATATATATTATGAGGGGTGTGTGTGTGTTTATACATATATATATACATATATCTATACATACATATATATACATATATATAAATACATACATACATATATATATATATCTTATGAGGGTGTGTGTGTGTGTTTATACATATATATATACATACATACACACACACACATATATATATATATATATATATCTGAGAGAAAATAAAAAGAATCAATAGGAATAAAAGAAAAGAAATAAATCAGGAAGAATTAAAGAAATGAAGGAAGGAAATAGGAAAGAAATTGAAAGAAGGAGAAAAGACTGAAACAAATAAAAAATAAAGAAGGAAATAATTCGTGATAAGAATAACGAAAGTGGAAACAAAATAAATAAATAGATAAATAAATAAAGAATGAATAAATGAAAATAATATCGAATAAAATATTGAAAAAGCAAAAAAGGAAGAGGAAAAAAGGAAGAAAGACAGAAAGAATAAACGAAAGAAAAAAAGAAAGAATGAATGAAAGAAAAGAGTAATAAAAGAAGCAAAAAATGAGGAAAATGAAAGTAAGGAATATATAAATAATAAATTATTAAATAAGTGATAAATAGAAGAAGTAAAAGAAAGATAAAAAGCAGGAAGAGTTCGAAAAAAAAAGTGTAAAAGATGTAGGAAAGAAATTGAAAGAAAAAATGAAAAAAGAACTAATGAAATAAAGCGGAAAATGAAAGATAAAATAAAATGAAGGAAAGGCAAGCAGGGGAAATAAAGAAACTATTGAATGGATTAGAAAACTAAGAAAAAAGAAATAATAAATGGAAAATAATGACTGTTCGTTGGTCTTCTGCTATTAACTTATTGGCATTACGTAATATATTTGTGTTTCATGGCATCTTGAGAAAATTGAAACTTACTTGACAGTACCTATATCCAGTCCGAATAACATGTGTTCTGTCCTACTGGGGAATATGTTAACAGTTGCAGGGATCAGTACCTGTCCTGATGGCTAACATGCCAGTGACAAGTGTTGCAAGGTTAATCACATTCCTTCACATATCTGATAGACTTTGTGGCTTCCGGGTAAGAAAATGGCTCACAAACAACAACAACAACAATACTAATAATACTAATAATACTAATACTAATGATAAAATATTCCAAACGGATATCAAGAAGTTTTACAGGGGATTGGAAAAGCAGTTAGAGAAGTCAAAAGTCACCATCTATTGAAGAAGTGCAAAAATGTTGGGAGAATAGTTGAAGCAACCGAAAGGAAGAAAACCCCAATGTAGAGTAGATCAAACGAGAGTGAGAAAGAATGGAGGATTAACCTGTGGAAGAATGGGAAATTATAACCAAGAATAATATTAGGCAAGCTCTAACGAAATCCCCAAAACGGAAATCCTCAGGAAATGAAAAAGTGAACAAATTCTGTCTCTATCATCTGTCATCAATTCATTAAACACTTGCACAAGTTTTATCAATGCTAATTAATATCCCCTATGAAATTCCAGAATGGATCACTAAAAGGATTACATATCTCATCCCCAAAATGGGCGAAAAAGATTAAAAAAATTATAGGCCAATAACATGGCTGTCCACCACATATGAATTGGTTACGTTTATCCTGACGAACTGTACTTACTCTTTTCTTACTTTTTTCTTTTTATTCACCTGCAAGATTCATATGACAGAGAAGTAATATTATTTTCGATTTCACTCATCTTTTAAGAAGCTGTGTTCCTGAGTACTCCAAATTCATAAATAATTATACTGAATATATTACTACATGCCTAACAAGGAATTCACGTTACGTCTCTCTGACCATAGCTCAACTGGGCCTCATTTAAATACACATGGAAACCTACCAAACTTTATCCGCCACATACGAGTGATAGAGCGTATGTAAATATAAAAGTTGACATTGAAGTCAACACCGTGTGGTAACTTTTCCATGCTAATGGAACAGATTGATACGTAATCGTCAGACCTGAAGATTTTGTTTAGCATGAAACAGACTGTCGCCTTTGTGTTGACTTCATTATCCACTATATATATATATATATATATATATATTATATATTTAAAAATTATTTATTTCCATCGATTCCATCGCTACATAAGAGTTCTCATGTTTCAAAACAAGAGTCGAAAACTATTTGAATTAAATTGAATTAAAGTACCAAGCTCTGTTCCATCTTCAAGCGATTTTTTTTTGAATAACTAATTCTTTAAATTTACGCGTTTTATAAGCATATTCATTATTAAAATTACTATGGTAACGGCTAGAGCAATCATTTAAAAAAAGGGGCATAAGGGTTAATAATTTGTATCTTGTACTGAAACATGAGAACTCTTATATAGCGATGGAATCATATTTTTAAATAAATAAATAAATAATTAAATAAATAATTATATTTAGTCTCTACTTTTGTATCGAGCACTGTTTTTTTTTTAATAATAACAAAATACTAAAGAACTTTGGATTATTTACCTAACGAGTTCTTTCCTATTTTCTATATATTTTCACACACACACACACACACACACACACACACACACACACACACACACACACACACACACATATATATATATATAGAGAGAGAGACAGAGACAGAACAGACAGACTGACAGACAGAGACAAAGATATAGATAAATAGATACACAAACAGAGAGAAAAGAGAGAGCATAAACATAGGAATACGAAAAAAAATAAAATTAGAATTAAATGAAACACGAAAATGTTTAAATCCACCTAAAGAATAAACAAATTGAAAAAATAAGCTTGTGAATTGAAAAAAAAAACGTCGGAATCAAACATTTAAATGAAAATAATACTATTTACCGATGTTGGAATTCTGACAGGAAGTAGCGTACATATCTGGTGAGCACATGTTACTTAGTCGACGCGTTAATCAATTCATTCTGAGAAACTTCAAAGTCAGACAGGGTCTCATCTATTGTCACCCTCTTCTTACCACACCTTTTTCGTACTTTTTTTTCTGTCATATTTTTGTTTACTACTTAGTAGCCGTTGTTTTCAGATGAAACATTTCCATTATTCATTTTTGATTAAGTTCCTTAATCTTTCGTTTAGTTTCGTTTATCGCAATGTGCTGAGCTGATACGTTCGTGGGTTGTTAAAGTAAACAGTGAGTAATCCTTCATGTAAGACGATCTACGCATGTACTTAACAGTGTATACGATAAATTAACCGGTTCAACATAGTCTGGCACATGGAAACTCTTTGGTTGAATGTGAAAACAGAATTTTATTAATGGTCTGCAATGGATAAGCGATATTCCAAGGTTTCTAGACGAGATACCTAACCAATATATACATGATGTTTTAAAAATCATTTCACTCAAAGCGAATCAATAAAGACACTAAGACAAAGAGTGTACTGAGTATGAGAGAATAAGAGAAAAAAAGAAAACATTAAATATTTAGGACCGAGAACAATAAAAGAACAGGAATCAAGAAGACAGAAGGTAATAAATAATTGATATTGCGTTTAAAATTTTGAAGATCAGTGTTGGAAAGCAAGAGGACAGAAGAGATTGTCAGAAGCGAGAAGTGCAATAGAAGAAACTGTTTGCATAGAACTTACGGTTTCGACAAAAAAATTATGAGACGCATCGCCAATCTATTACTGCTTAAATTCATAAAGTCAGAAAAATTACTATGAAATATTTATAGAAAGCTGCGTAATGGCGGTCGGAAAAAAATGACTGAAGCCGAGATACTAGTTCAGGACCAATAACATAACAGATTCTTCTTTGCATTTATCACTAATCTCTAAATGCATAGCACAAGTAAGTGACACGATGGGACAGCATTATTGAATACATGGGCGAATAGTAGACTTATAACTGAGGTGTAAGGTAGATTCTAGCGAGAAAAATTATTTAGAACTACACAGTGAACCATTTTTTCTAGCAACAGTCCTAACAATTTATTCTATATAATATTTCTACAATGTCAGCGGAAAACGTTAGACGCAAAGGCACAAGGAGTCATTTTCATGGCGATTAGCATCAGTCATGCAGATTGAAGACAAAACATGTGGCCTGAAATGCTTAAAAGAAAGCAGTTTCGTTTTGGAAAAATTACAGAAACAACAAAAATTTTTCAATTATATCCGAGTTATAATTCTTTGCATGCAATTTCATGCAAATATTAAATTGCTGTAAAACGTACCTAAAGTGTTAGATAGGTGTCTGGTCTTCGTCTAGTCCGGCGAAGTGCAGCAATTCAACGTAGCATTGTTTCTAGATGTAGTCCAAAGACCTCCGGAGATTTATTGACCTATTCGGTTTCAATAACTGTCCACAACTCTCTGATATTTGTAGAAACAGCAACTTGCGTGCGAACAGGTTCTCTCAATCATTTCCCATAAATGGTCAACGATTCCCCAGTCGGAAAAAAGTCATGCTGACACCACCTTTCATTGGAAGTCTCCAGAAGGCCCCTCAAACTAAATAAAAGTAACTTCGTATCGATAACATGGTCCTGCTAAATCCCATCGCTGCTGTGTTACATGAAATCTATGCATGGATGTAAATCGTCATGAAACAGGACAACGTAATGGTTAGCTTTCAGTAAATAATTCAACACCCACAAGGACGCGGCAGTACTCTATTTTCGGCCTAATATGGTTCTTGTAACGGTAGAGTCAGATTAACAATTGATTCGTTTTTACGGCTTATCAAACTTCTGCAGGTTATTTAAAGCCAAGAAATATTTTTCGATTGTAAGAATTTTGGGGGGAGATAATATAGGTTTCAATGATAGAAGCCTTACTAATTAAACCATAATTGGGGTAGTTTCTATTTGCGTGTAAGTGAATATAACGAACCCAACTGGAATTGGAACTCGGTTGCCCGATTAACAATTCCAAGCCTTTACTCATTACACCACTCAAATATCCAAGTTTAAAGCACCTGGTATTCCTAAGAGATCACCCCCTCTAGGAACTGACTAGGCTCAACGCTGCTTATCTTCGATGATCATACAGGAACCGGCCTTTCAACATGGTGTATTTGTAAGCTAGGAGAGCAGGATGTGTCATGTACTTACTGGAATGGTTCAGAGAAGCGACAATTTTTTCAGTATCTTCAACAATATATAACGCATATACGAGTTCCTTTTTAAGTTCAAATACGCACTCAAGTCATGGGTCCTTCCTGAGAGATCTCTCGATCATCGCGTATTGTAGCCTAGAAGAGGTTACAATAGAATGAGGAATAACAAAAAATCTGGTTGGAAATGAAGTCGTAATCTTTATAACATCAACAAAATACAATACTCGCCAGCGGCGTGAAGTAAGTAAACCACTGCTAATGGTGAACTATTAGCATATTAGCATATTCCCACCACTTACAATAGTGTCCAACGTATTTATGAGGATTGGCACATACCCTTCAGTACGGTATATAACATCGCCTTAGACGAAAATTCGGGGTCTGCTTGGTGATGATGAAATGTCATGAGATTGGTTTTCCTCACTAGTTCAGTAATGCCTTTGATCATGTATACTCAGTACCTGAGATCGTAAATCGAGGGAAATCAAACATCTTTACAATTTTTTTAAAGGAATGTTCCTTCATTTCGACTCTCACTATTATGGACTGTTCGAACACGCACTGCAATGAACAGACAAGGTTTTTTTCCAAATTGCCTCACCATAAATTACACCATAATTGATATAGGTCTCGACATTTGTATGAAGTCAAGGAATAGTAGACCCTTGTTACCAATATATACTTCTACCACTTTTCGCGCGTCAGTGTATTATTAACAAGCTTTTAAAAAAATCACACAAGCTATGAAAACGACGTCCATACGCACTCGCAGAAACAAAGTTAAGTAAAGTTTAAGCATTTGGCTATTTTTGTTACTCGATGCTGAAAACGTTATACACTGATAAAAATATAAAATGCTTTTAATACTTGAATTATAAACCAAAAAAAAAAAAGCGTATTTCAGTCCAAGACACCATCCAACATCTCATCCAAAACGAAAGTGTTCTGGAATAATTCTTTTCTTCTCTTAAGAGGAATTGAAGACACGTCGTTATAAATTAGTTGTTTGGAGAAATCGGTTCTGTGCAGGACTACCGTGAAAATGTACTAAATAAAGCACTGGAACAGAAATCGGTCAGTGATCTTTGATGCATGTCTATAGAACAGAAGACGGCCAATGATGTCTGCTGCATGTCGATAGAACAGAAGTCGGCCAACGATTTGTGCTGCATGTCTATAGAGCAGACGTCGGCCAGTGATGTCTGCTGCATGTCGATATACCTCTCCTCTTCTTATAAATGCGGCCCGGTAAACAGTTGATATGATGGCAGTTTATTCAATATGCAGCATACTTTTTTCACATCTGTGGCCTTCAGGCAATCATTTCTTGCCAGCTTGCAAAATACCTTGTCTACTCAGCGTTTACAACATGTCTGATATATATATATATATATATATATATATATATATATATATATATATATATATATATATATAGAGAGAGAGAGAGAGACGATTTGTTTCGTAGATTTCTCCGGATTAAAAGCTGAATCATTATTTTCTGATGAAAATCGCTGTTGTGTTACATGAAGTCTATGCATGGATGTAAACTGAAAAGAAGGTTTGGTGACTCAATAATCACAGACGGAATTTATAGTAAATATACGATTTTATAGAAATTTACTGAAATCACTATTAAATTTATGGAAATAAATAAAACTCAACTGAAAGTCATCATGGAAAGTAAGCCTACTAAACATTACAAATAACCTTTTAGTTAAATAATTTAGATTGAACTTCAGTCTGATCTATCTATCTATCTATCTATCTATCTATCTATCTATCTATCTATCTATCTATCTATCTCTCTCTCTCTCTCTCTATATATATATATATATATATATTTTTGTCTATCTATCTATTTGTTTATTTTCATTATCCGTCTTAAACTTTTCTAAAACTGCTTACATATATCGTCATAATTGTCTTCCTAACTCAGCGCTATCGAGTGAATGGATATTTTATGAAGAGATTTCTACTTTGGAAATAATTTTTGCATGCATTTCATATAAGCATAAAAATCTTGGTTTTTTTGACTGAATAGCAAGTTCGATGCTCACTGGGCGCATCATACTGTTTGCCTTGTGCCAATCACCATAATAATCCTGGATTTTATCAAGGCTCAAACACTTACTGGTTACAACGAATAAGAAAAGGGAGAAAATACGGGCAGTTTCTCTTAACACAATGTTCATGTGTTTGTGTATGTGTCTCTGTTAGAGATACACACACAATATTAAATATTAATATTAAACATTGCTTTAATATTTATTTGAAGAAAACCCAGCTGTCGCTTCTTTTCGCATCTAGCTGCATTCAGGATCTTATCCAACCGGTTTGCTCTTTCTTTCTTTTTTTCTTTCTTTCTATTTTTTCTAATTTAATTCTGTCTATTTTTCTCTATCTATCTATCTCTAGTGACGAACGAAGCGTATCTTAGATGTAGCATAAGGCAGAATGTATGGAGCACTCAATGAGTCGTAATTGAATAAGCGACAAAAGTTTGCTAACCATAACACCATGTCGAAGTTCCCATATCTAGCTTGTTATAACCAGCTGTGTTAATCGGTTACCTTATCGCTGTTATTGTAATTATCTACTCAACTATAGCAATCTATTCATATATAACTATCCTAGTTTTCTCATTATCTAACTATTCCTCAATACATTTGCTGCAATTTTATTTATCCCATCAGATAGGGTTCGAATCCTGATGAATTTCTCTGTATCAAATGATTAATTTTCTTGGCATGGTTGTCACTATACGATGCTTTTATCACTTAGCAATCATTATATCTGTGATAAAGACAATGGTGACAATAACGTTCCTACTCCTGCTTGTCGTCGTAATATCAGAGGTAGGGAAAATGCTCCCAAAGCTATGAATAAGAAATAAAATTAATTTGTTATTATTAGTTCGACAACAGCAAATTCTCTTTCAAATGAAACACGAGTTTGGAGAATAATATTTTATGCTTGTCGCTTCGTTTCATGTAAGCTATTCTATTTGTGTGGAAGGAGATGTCAGGAATTTATCTATCACGCTGTGTATGGCTGTGCACACCTAGACTCCGATTCCCCCCAACATATGCGTGGGTGCAGAAAATTCTCCGTTGTTGGAACTATGTCATCTCATAGTTCTTACGAACGGGACGGTGGTGCAGAAATCGTATAGATGGACGGGGGTTGACGGAAGCGGGAGGAGACAGATGCTAATGCAACGTGAAAAAATCAATAAATATTGGATAGGAATTATACATAAAAGTTTCTTTGATGTTGCCGGCTCTATCAAACCTATCGACGTAGGAGAGGAGAATGGCAAGCTTGTCGGTTCAATAGAAGAAGCAGCAACGGCGGCAGTTAAGATAAAGGTGTGTTGCACTGGGAAAAAGTTAGTTGCGGTGGGTAGTGATACGGGGTTTGTCAAAAGATACAAATGACGGGGAAATGGTAGTAAGAGAGACGGAGGTATACGCTAGTAATGAATAGGCTTTGATGATGCTGAGTGTAAGTGAAGAAGGAGGAAAAAGGCGTCGTTCAAATGCAGAGAAAAGGTAATAAAGAAGAGATGAGAAAGAAACTGAAAATGGTCGATGAAAGACAAAGGTTAAGAGTGAGAAGATAAAAGAGTGGCGTTGCATTTAAGGGGAGTGGTTGTGGTGTGATGAACGATGGATCTATAAAAGATTAGAGGGGAATAATGTAGTTAATGATTAAAAGAGATACTTTGCAAATGGCGGGGTCCAGAAGAGAAGCTATCTATGAAGGAGAAGGCATAGCCTCAGAAACAACATGGAAATAGAAAGAAATGAAAGCGAGAATAATGAAGAGGGCGAGGTAATAAGAAACAGTCGGAAAATTGAGAAAAAGAACAGAACAAGGTTGGCAACAGAAAGAAAAGTGGAAAAGATAGCAGACGACAAGGAGGGGGATAAATGAAAAAAAGATAAAAGGCTGATGAGATTATAAAGACAAAATGAAGAGAGTAGAAAAAGGAGGAGGAAAAAGATAAAAAGAGGTGACAAGAAGAGTGGCTAGAAAAAAAAAGAGAAAGAGAGAGAGCAAAAATATAGACGAATGAGAAGATGTAGAAAAAAGAAGGAAAAGAAAAAAATGACGAAAAGATACGAAAGATAAAAGTAGTGAGTAAAGGGGAGGAAACTATTAGGAAGAAGAAAGTAAAAAGGAGGAGGGAGAAAAAAAGGGAAAGTGAGAAGAAGAAAAATAGATAGGAAGGTAGAAGAATAATTAAAAAAGGCAAACTAGAGATAATTAAAGTGGAAAGGAAAAGGAAAAAGGCGAGCACACAAGGAAGAAAGAAAAATAAATGAACAGGAGAAAAAGATAACTTAAATAGAATGTCTGTCTCAGAACTTTACAAATATCAATCAGCAAAGCGGTCACGAAACTCTTTGAATGCGCCAGCAGTGGTTGGTTTTCGATTCCAGATGAAATTCGCTATTTAATGAGCCTTATCTCCAAATCAAACTACATACGTTTTATCCACTAAGAAGAGAGACGTTCTGCAATTTTCTTCGTACACATAAAAAGATATTGATGGCAGTTAGAACTGTGATGACAGAAAGAAAGAAAGAAAAGTTGATGAGTGAGGCAAAAATGTTATGAAATAAAAAAAAATGTAACGAAGAATAAGACAAAAATGAAAAAAATCATAAAGAAAAGAAAATATGAATAAAATACAAGAAAAAACGAAATAAAAGAGCGGATATAAAAGATTAACAAAATGGAAAGTTTGCAAAGAAAAATACGGAATGTTTGAAAAAAATATATTTTTTAAACCTATCGAAGAAGAAAAACAGGAAGGAGATAACAAGAGACAATGACAATTACAACAATACTACGACTACTACAACTACGAATAATAATAATGGTAAGAAGAAGATAAAGAGAAAAAGTAATGAATAGCAAGAAGAAAGAGTCAGAAGATATATTATAAGATGAAAATGAAGAATCAAGAATGATACGATAGGAAAGTGAGTGAATGACAATGAAAGAGAAAATTAGAAGAGGCCAGATGAAGAGGAAGGAAAGACACGAGAAAATGAAAAGAATAAGGCGTATTTAATGATAACAAAACTAAAAGAGAAGAAAACTTTATTAATCATATGAAAAAGATAAGAAGAGAAATTAGAAAGAGAAAACTAGTTGTAAAAGAAGAATGCACCAAAACATGGTAATGTAATCATTCGCAACATTTACTAATAGTTGCATTTATGTGTCGGTTTCTCTGACATTTCTGCCTATTGTGCATGCAATGCGGCTATCGTTTGAGTAAGGCACCCATTTAATTTCATTTTATCATCAACTTCTCTTGCCTCATTTTCTCATTTTTCTGTTTCTATTTAAGCAAATTCAGCAAAAGCATCAGCACAATTTGGATTTGGAAATATCATATTGTTGTCTATTTTTCCTTTTTAAAACAATATTCGATCACTTTTTTAATACACAGATTGTTTCTAAAAGTCTTGAGTATGGAAACATTTACTAAACAACGAATTCTCTCAATAAAATACTCTCCCGTGCTTATAATAAAAGCATGAACGTTTTTCTAAGTCGAACATTTAGTTTATTTCGGAAAATAAGCAAGAAAGAAGTAGTCTGTTGCTATGAAATCGGAAAGAATTACGTTACAAAACAGAATCTCTTCCTTGCAACAAACATTAACTGGTTAAAACATTTTCATTTTACTTCTCTCAATTTAATCTCATCAAAGAGAAATACTTTTGGAATTACCTATAAATTAATTACCGTATATATTCGCGTATTATGCGACTTTTGAAAACCTAATTTTGAAGTTAATTTTAAGGAGGTCGCATCATACATGAGAATAAAAATTAGCGTAGATTACTGGTGTCTCTGGCTACGCCGTTGACCAAACTATATATACATTTACTGTAGTCAAATTAGCTTAAGGAATTTGGTCGCATGATACACGAGTATATATGTTAATTAATATTAATAAATAAATTAATGACGTGCGAATAATGGAAATAGTGGAAAAGAGGAGTTCAAACATTCATCATCGCACTAATTTAACCTGTAGCTGGGAGGAGAAAAGTTGTATTAATAGTTTTTCCAAGGTCAATAGTGCGATGAACAATGTTTGAACTCCAGTATGCGATTTCGCTTTCCCGCTATTTACATTATTTGCACAATTATTTTTTTTTATTAATATTAATTATCCTCTATACTGGAGTATGTTTAGAACCTAGGTATTCTGACCATGAGATCCGGGTTCGAATCTCACCATGATCGATTTGTCAGATTTCCTGATGTTATCGGACAAGAGAGGTAGATCCTAGCGTGTGGCAGCTTTGGAAAGTGCCTGAAAAGCATACTGCGGGTTGACCCAAGCCTTGTGAGTGAAATTGGGTAGACTGACCCCTTGATGTCGATGTCACATGTCATCATGGCTGAGTGCTGGAGCGTGCTGGCCTTGTTCAAATTGTTGATCACACTAGAAGACATGTATTTTCCCAGAAACTGTAACTATAAACATACAACGTGACCAACGCCCAAGTTTTCCGTCGATCGGTCAATGATTACCGCAAGTTTCATACCTAGATCTCGTTGGTGTTCACCGAAAGCTGGGAAAGGGTGCGATGCACGCTCACAAGGAATAAATAACAACATATCAAGAAATAAGTGCGCAACCCATGTTTTCCATATTATATCTAGGTGTTTTATTCAGGGCTTCGTCTCTTCGTCTGGGTGTGTTGGAATATACCTGTATAACTTCTGCATTGTCAGGTCTTGCCCTACCAACTCTTCGTCATGTATCCATCCCAATGTGGTTGTAGTCAATACAAAATGGAGGCTTCAGTACCGCGCGAGTGACTTGTTTGTATTCCTGCCAATGGAGGACCAGAACTCTCCGTGATCCCAAGCATGATTGCAGTTGGATATAATCTATTTCAGGTTTGGTTTGAATTTAAATTAGGATCCATTCTCTTCCCATTGCCATTAAGATCAAGAGGTTACTGCGTTTGAAAAATACATGTAAAAAAATTTTTTAAGGAGAGAGAACAATTAAAAAATAGATATTAAGAAAACGGTAGATAACGACTGATATTGCATTTAAACCTCTAAATATCAAAGTTGGATGGAAAACAAGAATGTGTATGAGAGTTCCACAGGCGAGTAGTTAGAGAAAATAAGCTTCTAACAAAGAACGTATGGTTAATTTAGCCATTTCAGTGTAACTAAAAATGATGTAATATTAAACGGTAACATTTAATTTGCATAACATGTTTAAAAGCATACACTAATAAAAATATTTGTGTTATTTATTTTTAATATAATTTTTAAAACTGTCAAGTCATGTTTCTCTCAATAAACAGTACCTTATTTATCATGTTTGTACAGGAAAAATTTATATCTGCTTTGTCTAAATGCAATCGAAAAAGACAGCGTTCGTAGCACTTGTCAGATATTTCAAATAACTACAATTTAGTCGATCGGAGCCAAAAAGATTAGGGAATTACCTAAACAATTTAAAATGACATGTTTAATTAATCTGTACAGCATTATTTAAACACGTGAAACAAATAGTAAGTTTCCTGAAATAATAATAATAATAATAATGATTATTATTATTAATACAGACATTAGAAAATTATTAAAATGTATCCCTCATATCCAGTTAATTGTAGCTATGTTTAGAGTAGAATATTAAAGAGGACTTTGCATAATGTCAAAAAAGAATTATAGAATAGTTGTCTTGAAGAAAATGTTTATACAAAAATTTAAGAAAAGGAAGCGAACTTTTAGGACAAATTAATTTTCTCAGGTAGTTTTCTTAAAGAATTATATTCTTTGGAATAAAACTGGGTAACTAAAACAAAATATGGGGTCCCTACAGTGTGTGTTCTACAGACAATAAAGCAAAGTAAAAAAAAGAATGCTCGTGCTTTCGGAATCCCAGCGATAAAGTGAGAAACAAAAAATCATCCAAACGCTTACTATTTTTTCTTGCAAAATTGCAGAATACAACAAAAATTATCAGAGAGTAATCCCTTATACTAATCTTCTATCAGAAAAAAGACCTGAAACACGTATATTTGTCCTACTAATCAATAATTCATGTAGAAAAATGTATGTAAAAAGTCATTCAGAGAAAGAAAATGATGCAGATAAAAATGTTTTTCTCAATATACTGACGCAATGAGCCAAAGCCATTCTTTCAGGAAGTTAATGATTAATGAATAAGTTCGGTTTTCTCTAAAATACTGCAAAGATATTTGAGTATGGATTAAAAGAAAAGCATATTCAGAAACAACGTTCTCTTTGCATAGAAATTGAAAAAAAGATTTTGCATATCTTTACAAAGGTAGTTTCTTTGTACATTGCACTGATATGTGTGGTTGTTAACAAAAGGGATAGCCCAATATGCAAATTACGAATTGGAGATACCAAATCAAAGAAGTACAACAATTTAAACATCAGGGTTTTAATGGAGGACGGAAAGCGCACGGGAATAGTGAAAGTTGCCTTGCAGAAGCTAAGCAAAATATTAAGAAGTAGAAATAGAAGCAGAAAATTTTCGTTAGAAATATCGGTCCTCCTACGTGGCAGTGAATGTTGGACAATTTATTCTCAAATGAAGAAGAGACTTGAATCAACAGATATGTGGATCTACAGAAGGATGCTGAGATTACAATGGACTGAAACTATGAGTTACGGAAATGTTTTAGAGAAAATCGAATAAAAAAAAACTTACACTTAACATCAGAAAGAGAAGTTTACATTTCTCGGGTACATAACCCGGAAAGTAAGCTTGGAAAATTTGATACTCACAGGATTGAAGGCAAGAAGGACAGAGGAAAATAAAGCATAATTTTGAGTTTTAGTAAATAGATGGCAGAGCAAAGTTTAGAAGAGGTAGCAAAAAGACAAAATTTATTAAGAGGTAGCAAAAAGACAAAATTTATTAAGAGCTACAAAGATCAGGAAATTAGTGAGAATTATAATCGCCAACGCTCTGAAAGGATACGTCACATAGAAGAAGTGCAGAAATGTGAGCATAGATTATGATGTCGAAGAATGAAGAAAATAAACATATTCATTTAAAAGATGTTTGAAAATGGTAAATATTCCTGATGCTAAATATGTTGTAATGAAACCATTCTTAATGTATATCTTTATTGCTTTCATAAGTGAAAAAATAAATCACTAGTCAGAAACAAAAAAAATAATTTAATGTTTGTTTTTGCAGTCCCGAGTTATTATAGAATGATGATATGTATTTAGTCTAAATAAATTGATATTATTAGATACATACGAGGGCTAATCAAAAATTATCGGAACAGTTACTATGATAACGGAGCTAAGGTAAGCAGATTGAAGACTCTTGGCACAGACTGACTTTGAACTTTGTCGCCTATGGATAACGTTCACGCTCACTACCGTTATTTATAGCTATTATATAGGAATAAAATGTCGCTGCCGACACTTGAGTTTGCGCAATTACAGACGATCCCGTTATTGAATTAAGTAGATCACGTGACCATAGAGGATATATATATATATATATATATATATACACACTGTAGAAACTCATGAATTCAAGCGCCCTACGAGGCTGGCATCCCCCTCCCACCCTTACACTGTAGAAACTTTTAAATGTAGCCATCTCTTCTACTCCAATAGCTTCATACCTCGCACCTCTCGCCTGTGGAACACACTTCCCAATTACTGTTTCCCTGAGAGCTATAATCTCCAACTATTCAAATGTAATGTCAATCGACATCTCCAGTTACCTTGATCTATCCACTATCCCTCTCCTCACCCTTTCTTCTATCACTCCTATCTGCTCTTGCTCCAAATCTTCTGCAACCCCCTGCATCCTAGTGGCTTCACGCCTTGCTCAGGGCGTAATGCTTAATATATATATATATATATATATATATATATATATATATATATATATATATATATATATATATATATATTTCTAGCCTATCCTCTATTATTATTCGGATCGCTATTTATACTCTATCCTTACCGACCGCTATTCTCTACTCTATTCACTATACCAATTTTCTATTCAGATCACTATCCGGTGGTTAATTTTTGAGCGAGTATTATCGAGAAAGTAATATTAGTGCGAGTGTTAGTCGAAGGCGTCTGACGCCAGTATTGTTCAAAGGCGTACTATAGTTGTATCTGCGATTACAAAGTCTCTACTACAACAAGCATTACAAAAGCTATAACGAGTATTCGTTGGCATCACAAAAGTAGCAGTACTTGGAAGGAAATTGTGTAGTGTGGTCCTTTCACCACACCAAAGCGGATCTATCAGTGACCGTGGCTTGTGCCACTGTTGGGTTTTGATGCCAAGGACAACATTCCCCATGTCCGCCAACCACCATATTCCCAAGATCTCGCCATTTGCGACTTTTTCCTATTCAAAAATTAAATTCAGCTAGAAAAGGACAGGATTTGAAGACTTCGAAGAAATCCCAGACAATACGTCGAGGCAGCTGATCGCTATCATAAAAAAGAAATTCCAGGAATGCTTCAGTCAATGGAAACTACTAAAGGAGACTACTTCGAATGAGATTAAATAACAAATTGACATATGTTGTAGTTTTTATAACAGCGGTCCCGATACCTTTTGATCATAGTCCGTAACTATAAATATATTTATGATATTATTGATTAATATAAATGCTGTTACAGATCCAGAATCGTTAATTTCAATATCTAGCTTTTTGCTATTTGTCTACATCGTGGTAGATATATTTGTGCACTTACCTCGGGATTTCGAATACTGATTTTCAAATCAGGTAGGCTCTAGTCATATCATTGTATGTTGGAAAAGAATATTCTACAACCGTGAGCGCAACATTCTCATATGCATTGATTTACATGCTAATCTCAGCAGTTATTTCTAATGAGATCTCTTCTTTCAGGTAGTTCGATATACAGGATATATGCCAAAGAGATCGTTCCATTCTATTAGTAACTGTAAGTCCGTATCCATGGTTATAGGAGTAAAAAGAATATTCTGCGTTAAGTGTCAGGGTTCATAGAGAATGTGCATATAACTCTATTTCAAGGGTTTAATGTCCATCCTAATCCTCATTGTCCAGCTACGCGAGAGTTCAAAAGCGCTTACACGGCCTTGCGAGTGATGTATTATTCTACACCCTGCAACCCTAATCTTACGAAAAGTTGTGAGCCTTTCATTACTATATCACTATTACTATATCAGATGTTCGGACGAGTTACCTTGTGTTGGTCCACTAGCCCAGATCTTCACAGCTCGAAATTGCCATGCCATGTTCACGGCGAAAAACCATCACCCATTACCCTGGTGTTAATTTGACAAAAAAAAATCTCTGGTAGCTTGTGGAACAAACCAGAGATGGGAAACAATCTCCCGAGAGAATGCTTTCCTAAAAACTACTATATTGGTCTTTTTATGTTCAGGGTTAACCGATATCTATCCTCCCCCTACTCATAATACGTTCTTACTTCCCCTCCCTTGCAACAATCTTAATCAGTAACGCTCTATCCCGAGTGGCCTTTAAGTCTTGTATTGGGTGAACTAACAAACTAACTAAACAAAGTTAAATCTAAGCATCAAAGCTATTTTGAAGTATAAACTTAAAGAAAAAACACAAGAAACCATTGTCAGTTAAGTGATATTAAAAGGTTTCAGAGTTTATGAGCGCGGGTGAATCGGGGAAACACTGAAAAATAATGCTGAGAATCGTTTATACATAGGAAAATACTAACACTGTAGAAATCGTTGATTCTAGTATCAAGATATCTTAATCCTAAACTCAGCTGCACGACATCCGCCCCTTCTCAAGGAGCAGAAACCGTTTGACATCTGTCACGACACAGGAAATTTCAAGAGACATCAAAAGCTTTAATTCCACGAAAACTACAGGTCCTGATAAAATCATGGTGTTAAGAACATTTTCCCAGAATTATCTCCAATCTTTGCAATGTTGCTTAACCCGTGACTGAAGGAGAAATATGCGTAAGCGTTCATCTCTGTCTCCGTATCGAACCATCCGCCACTTTAGTGCCGACAGCAAATATTTTGAGGCAATATTCAAAAAGAAGGTTATTGATTACATCAATGGAAATAACATCCTGAGCGACAAGCAGTATGGATTTTGCTTTTCTAGTTTAACTACTGATGTCCAAACTGCCATCATACCCACCTCACCCACCTTCAAAGCACATCCCCATATCGAGGTCTTCTGTTAATATAAGTAGGAAGATTATATCCATCGCTGGCTTGTTAGTCTTATCACGATGCTTATACAGCTGGTATTCCCCCAGCGATTAGCCAAACTCAACGTTACTTAATTTCGGTGATCGAACGACAACCAGTTTTCAATGTGATGTGGCCGTAACCCATAACTGCCATAAGACACAATGAGGCACTCGATAATAAATTCATTAGGAAAGTGATCGGCTTTGCTATCTCAAAGGCATTTGACGAGGTGTGGCTTCGGAAATTGTTATCGTAACTCTCCAGCTATGGAATTTCTGGAATTCTTGCAATCAAAATGCTTCCTATCCAACAGATCCTTGAGGGTCGTTGTCATTGATCAGGCTTCTGAAGCCTGTGAGATCAAAGAGTAAGGTTCCTTACTCGTTTCTACCCAATTTCATTTTTATTTTAAATTCTCATCAGTTACAATGAATGCTCTCGAAGATGAGGCTCCTTGCTTTTAAGGCCTTTTGGGATTCAAGTTTAACTCAGACCTCAAGCGGAAATCATATATACGACGCATCGCTAAAGACGCTGAAAAAATAGCGATGTAAAAAAAAGTGCCTGACTCCACTTAAAATTCTCTGTCTTTAAGAGAGTCAGATTAGATCAAAATGGAGTACTGTTGCCATATCTGGATTGGAGTTACTCAGAATTCAAAACCTTTTCGGCGATTTATTTTTCCTACCCTGAAACAGATGAAACGTCGCAAGACTATTGCTAAGCTATCACCATTTGTATTGGAAATGTCCTGACGTGCTAGATTGTCTAGTTCCACCAATTTAGACCATTACATGCTATACACACAGAGATGAACAATCCTTATGCTCTTCGTATTCCATAAGTTAAAAGGAAGTTCCATTCGCACAGAGGCGCTACTTTTTAGGACAGACTCCCAAGTGTATATTTCCCCGACCACTACAAACTTAACCTCATCAGGCCTAGGGAAAACCGCTACATATCATCCTAATGTGCACTTCTTACGTCCAAATTTTTATTTCATTTCTTTCATTACCTATCTACCTTCAGTGACTTTTCGACTTTGTATTGGTGAACAATAGTAAATAAAATAAAGCGATGATCTGTATAAGTAAATAGCTTTGTTATTCAAATTAACCCATTTTCTGTTCTGAAAAGAATAATGACCTTCGAAATCAGATCACAGCTAGGGAGTAAAATGAATCAAACTTTAAATGTGAATTTCCCAACATGGGCGATATCGCCCACTGGTAGACGATTTCAACTGTTGGCCGAGCAATGAACAACTGATTGGAAAAGGGTAGGCGATTGGAAATTTTCATAGGCAATATTCTATTTTGAGTATCAAAAACGTATTTCGACATATTCTAACTGAAAAAAAATCAAAGAAGTTATGCAAAGAACCTGTATAAAAAAACAGCAAGTTAAATGGTAATAACTTTAGTCACATTCCTATAAAAAATTAACCTTGACCATAAATCTAAATTATATGTATATAATTTTCGATTGCCGCATAAGTCATCATTATTTATTATCTACTTTTGATACTTTTACTACATCAATTTACGACTCATAACAAACTTTTAACAAACAATTTTGATATGCCTTTAAATATTTACTTTACAGGAGGAATATAGTGCTAAAATGGTTTGGAAACCCTGCTTTAAATAGAACATTTTAAAAATCTGACAACTATAACAAATTATAATATTATAACATGCATTGTCAAATGATTTAATTACGTCCGTTTTCCAATATCATTTTACGGCATACACAAATATAATAGAAATGATTGGGTATTACATCGGAGCAGCAGAAAAGGGACTTGGCCCGAGCAACGCAGTGTGTCATTGCTAGTTTGAATATAAATATTACTATACTATATACAGCTGAGTATATAACATAGAGAAAAATAAAATTTAATCTTCGCATGTATGCAGGAATGAATGATGCAAGAAGAAAAAGACAAATGTAAATTAAAAATATAATATTCTCAGTATTTAATAAGCTAACAAAAGCAGATCACGTAGAGAAACATCAACGTTTAGATTTGAAATTTAATCAACTTGCCATCATCAAAGCGAAGTAATAATAATAATAATAATAATAATAATAATAAGAAGAAGAAGAAGAAGAAGAAGAAGATTTCTCAGAGGAAAGCTGGTGGATTGAGATTCGCTGTCACTTGGTCTCCAGTGAAACCACCAGAAACAACTTGTGCGAGATTTACATAAAATTAATAAAACCAATGATAATGCTGGAATATAAAGCGACGAATCTATGACAAAATGAAACATTAATAATAATATCTAATATATTTACTTATATGCACAAGAAAGGTCTATTTATTTGGGTAATTCACAAGTTTATGGGTCCGCTCTGTTTGCAACAGAAATCGATAGTAAATTGATCGAACATGTAAAAAATATTTTCTAATAATGCTCTGGTCAGATATTCGATATATTTCATAGTTATTGAGTTCTAGTATCACATAAGACCCGACTTTATGTAAGAAAAGCCTTTAAGAAGGATGTTTGCGCCAAACCCAAAATGTGAACAAACCATGGAGATCGTATACGAATATATCTTATGCCGAATTAAGGGCTTAAATAAAAGTCTTACTCTCGAAATATGCTTCTTGTACATATAAGTGTATAATATTGAATATTATTAATATTTTTTTTTAATTTGACATTAAAATTCGAATTAAAATTTACTTTAATTTTCAATGTTAAATGTGTCTGTTTTTATATATGATACTTTTATTCACGAGACTTTTGGGAAAAGAGGCTATGATTTTGGCCAATTGGTTTTTTGCCAACTGGGTTTTGGTCTGCTGGAATTTTGTCTTATTACCGTAAGAGACATGATGTCACGTGGTCCTCAGTGAGTACTATCAGATACGACTGATAACAAAAGTCAATGTAAGGATAACCATAACTTTAAGGAATATCATATAGTCGGATATCTCACTAAAAAAAGCGACCGTGGAAGGATCAGAAGCAGCGAATCATTAGGAATGGAAAAAGCAAAGATAACATATAAGAAATAATATGTCATAAGAATAACTGATCAATGCGTTAGCTTCCTTGATTTATAATGTAAAATATCGAGCTGAGAAAGTGAATGGAAAGGCATATAACTTGTGATCTTGTAAGAAGCATGACGGTTCGTATCAAAGGCAAAAGCGGCAGGACATTACGCACTTCCAAAGCTCTAGTGACAAAGATCGTTTGAAATGAACTATGAGGGTAGCTTTCATCATTAACTTACTTGTTCTCTCTGTACGATTCCGCTTTGTTCTTTTTCTCGCTTTGAGAGTTTGTATTTTTTTTTAATTTCCATACATTACATCTCTCTCTCTTTTCACTTTCGTTTTCTTTCTCCCTCTCTCACTTTCTCCTTATCTCTTTCTTTCTCTTTTTTTCTCTTTCTTTTTTCTTTCTTTCCCTTTCTAACACTTTTCTCGCTCTTTACCCCTCTTTCTTTCTATCTTTCTTTCTTCCTTTCTTTCTTTCTTTCTTCCCCACTCACTCTCTCTCTCTCTCTACCTCTCTCCTCCTTTATCTGTCTTTATCCCTCTCTCTTTCTCTCTTTCAATTTCTCTCTTTCTTTCTCTCTCCTCTCTATCTTTCTCCCTCTCTTATTTTCTTTATTTCTCTCTCTTTCCCTCTCTTTCAAACTTTATTTTCCTGTTTTTTTAATGCTTTCGTTATTTCAGTTTGAAATTCTTTTTACTAAATTGCATCTGCCTTTCTTTCTTTACATAGTTTCTTGAATACTTTATTTTTATTTTTTTCATTCGTTCTTTTTTCTTTATTTGTAATTCTATTTTACCTGTTTCTTAAATGTCGTCTTTCATTCTGGTTTTTCTTTTTCATACGTTACATGAGTTTTTTATTTCTATCATTCTTTCCTTATCATCTTTCTTTTTCATACTTTACCTTGTTTGTTCATTTGTTTCTTTCTTTCAAGTTTTCTTTCTTTTTTCCTTTTGCTGGTTCATTTGTTTTTTTTTTCTTTAACTTTCTTTTTATAGCTTACATTGTTTCTTCAATTATATACTTCTGTCAATTTTTCTATTTTTCATTTACACATTCTTTCGTTTTTTCTTTCTTCTTGATCTTCCTTTTTATATTTTACATTGTTTTGTCAACACTTTCAATATATTTTCCCAGTTTTTCCTTTATTCTTTCCTTCTTTTTTCCTTCTTTTTTTTCTTTATTTTTCATTGTCTTTCCATTGTCTTTTCATCGATTTATTAATTATATATTTATGGCTTCAATTGTTATTTCATTCGTTCGTTCTTTCTTTGGTATTTCTTCATTTACCTTTTTTCTTTCCTCCTTTCACTTTCTTTCTTTTTTCCTTTCTTTTGTTCGTTCTTCCTTTTGTTTTTTTTCTTTGTCAATTTATCATTCTTTCCTGCTTTCAGTTTCTTTCTTTCTTTCTTTCTTTCTTTCTTTCTTTCTTTCTTTCTTTCTTTCGTTCGTTCGTTTCTTCGTTTGCTATTTCTTAATCTATCTTTCTTCCATGCTTTCACTTTCTTCCTTGATTTCTTTCTATTTTTCTTTCTTTCGCTCCTTTGTTTTTTCTTAATTTATCATTCTTTCCTGCTTTCGATTTTGTTTTTTTTTTCTTTCTCTCCGTCTTTATCCTCTCTATCTCGACATTTCTTTCTTTTTCTTTTTCATATTTTTCATTGTTCTTGCATATCATACTTTCTTAAATTTATCCTTCTTTATTTTTTCTTAACTTTGCCTTGCATCTTATATAAGCCTAATTTTAGGATGTCTGACTACTGGACATTGAACGCATCATTATTTGGTGAGCGATATTTCCGGTACCAGCTGCTATTAATGCTACAGAGGGAATTGACATAGACTATGGTTGGGAATATGCGGTGGGATAAGCGTCTGAGTGAGAGGGTCCCATCACAAAGTCTGAGATCTGGGAAGCGCTGAAGCAGTTTGGCCTGGACAAGACACCGGGATTACGAAATGTACTTGATACAGTCACCCGTCTTTGCCCACTTGCTGGCACTGATTTACAACAACTAGAATAAAAAGAGGTCTATACCTCATCGCTTCAACAAAGGTGTGATTAGGCTGCTTCACACGAGCAAGAACTGTGGGGTTAATGATAGGTAATTATCGGCCTTTGACGATGTTAAAGACAGAGTTGAAGATTTTAGTCAAGATCTTAGCCAGCCGTTTGGCTCCGAGCAGACTTGTGCTGCGAAGGGCAAGACTATTCAGGACAATCTTCATTTGGTACTCTTGATCATCAAGAAACTCGACAGTGATGCCGCGATGATTAATTTAGATCAGTCCAAAGCATTCGATAGGGTTGACCATCGATTTCTAGAGGGTTTTCTTTCTACCGCCTGTTTCGGGCAGTACTTTCGCACTTGGATACGACTTCTGTATGCATCCCCTGGTGCGCTAGTAGATGTGAATATTATAAGATCGTATTGTCTCACTCCATTCGTCAAGGTTGTCCGCTTTCGCCTTTACTGTACGTTCTTGCGTTGGAGCTCTTGCTTCGCAAGTTGAAGACGAATTCTTTTCTTCGCGGAATTCCCCTATCTGGTTCTACCACCTTGGCCACGTATTCCGCTTATGCTGACGACGTTTCGGTTCTAGTGTCGAGCAGAGCCGAAATTGACGAAGTCAGCAAAGAAATGAGGACGAGACGGTGACAGGGTCCAAGAACAACCACGATAAATCTGTTGGCTTGCCAATAGGTTCGTGGAATGTAGTTTCTCTTCCTGGACGTTTCCCCCTGGACGGACGGGCCGGTCAAGATACTCGGTGTACTGGTCGCTCCTGATCTCCTCTTGGAAATGAATTGGTCGGAGGTGCGAGAGAAAGCTGAGGTCGCAGTTCGTCTGTGGTTCCGGGGGAATGTTTCCATGAAGTGGAGGGTGGAAGTATGTGCCTTGTACATCTATCCGATTCTAATTTACTGAAACTCCGTACTTCCACTTCCATCTGCCACTCTTTTGCGTTTAGTAAGGCTCTTGTGAAGAGGCAGGTCTACCAAGGTATGTCGGTAGATCTGTTAACTTCACCCTTCTGAAGACGATTTGGTGATGCCTTGTGTTGAGATTCGTCAACATACGCTTCGCATCTCTTGCCTAAACCGGATGTGTTTGCAGTCGGATGAGAATGGAGAATTCTGGAATGGAAGACGCTTGTAAGAAATTCCCATCACTGTTTACACGGATGCGAATGCTCCTTCCATCGTGAATGTCGATTTGCTCTTTACAGGCGACGGTTGGCCTTTCTGACATTCAGGCGTTGTCTCGTAAGGCATTATATAAAGTGTTAGTGAGTGGGGCCTTTCAGGATGATTTGATAGGCGAACTCGGCTTTACAAAGCAGGTGGCTCGCTCCATATGGCCACTCACCTTGCTGATGATTCGAAAGCCCCTGTCTCGTCAAGAGGCGTTATTTGGCGGGTTTGGAAAAATTTCCAAACTGCGTTTGAGGGGCGTTTGAAGGCATCATGTTTCGCATGCTGCGCCGAAAATTCTTTGTCCTTGAGGCCAGTTCTGTTTGTAGTACCGTCGTACCCCCGTTGACTAAGACTGAACACTATGTGTTCTTTTCCTTAGTAGGAGTTATTCTCGTCGTGATATGAACGACGGGACAGAAGGAACTCTATGGAGTGAGAAGTTTACCTCGTCCCAACTAATCTTCTTTTTTAAGCACCGGCTTAAAGTCAAGATTAGGACGGAAAAGAAAAAACTTCATCCAACAGAATTTGGTAAGAGATGGGTTAGTCTTGCGCGTTTGTGTCGAGTAAAAGTGATGACTTAGAGTGGCATTTTGAAAGGATATTGGAATTTGCAACCCCGTCCAAAATAGGGTAGTTTAAGCAAGTTTTGTTCTTTAGTTTTTCTCCGTCAAGTTAACTTAGCGATGTATGCTCACTGGTCCCTTTTATTCTTGCCCCCAATTTTGTCAGTTCTCTGGTGGATGCGATACGCCTTTCGTATTTCGAGTGTAATTTTCGTAGTTGTTGCGTTTCAATGAGTGTATGTTTCAGTGAGTGGTAGGTCGAATGAGTGTTTTGACTATTTAAGTCCTGCATTAATTTCATCCAATTAATTGATGTTTCCGCCATATTTAGTGATTGTTGTGATGAAGGTTTATTACTAATATTATTTCGCATTGTTTCTTGTAAATCGATCCCGTTTTTTCATTGTAAATCTTTATTGGGGCTATAAATTTTAAAAGTCGTTATTTTATTTCCATCTGTGACAAATTGTACACATAGAGACTAGTTAGGACTTCATAGAGTTCCTGAGTTATTTTGATGGATATAGTAAGAATTGTACGAATGGTAAGTAAGAATATGTTGTTTTGATGCAAGAGTTATTATAGCAGTGTTGGGTCGGTGATTATGGCGAGATAAGTTTTAGTGTAAGACAAAATAAAGAATCAGTCTTCCCTATCAACAATTTTTTGCCTTGTGCCACATTTGTACTTTGCGCAATAAAGATTCTCCGATTACAAAAAGAACAAGATCATGAAGGACAACGATATCCTCAATATAACATATGAGCCGACCATTTAAATTAAAATACATTTTTATCATATCAGGTCTTTCTTGGGTATTCTTTCATGAGACTTCAATAATTTATTTCTATTTTCCGCACATTCGAAGTTCTTTGGCTTTCATTTAAATTTCTTCCTTTTCCAAGAAAATATTTTGTTTGTCCGTCTTTCCTGTTTCCATAATTTCCCCCTTTTTTATTTGAATCGTTGTCTTTCTTGACTTTTCTTCGCCTTTTTTCTTTAAATTGTTTTTCATTCGTCTTCGAAACGCTTTCGATTCTATATTTCCTGTCCAGTTCTCTCAGTAATTCATTCTTTCTTTTCCTTTTTCGTAAGAAAAACGTAATATTTAGATCATTCACTGTTCTTTG